TATAACGCCTGTCTACTTTAAAACGTTTGTTTTCAGTCTCTCTCTGTAATTGAAACGACACCGATGACAACGACGAACATCATGGCATTTATTTTTTATCATTTTCTTGCTTTTTTTTCGCTTTCATTACTTATTTATCGCTTAAGTCGTCTAAACCATCCGTAGCTTCCTTAATTTTATTACACGTATAACGCATGCTTCCGCGGGCCGCTGAGAATAGTGGGGACAGCCGCTGACTGGCAGCGATTCGCTTTCATTTAGTCTCTCCCGAAAGGAACGATGCGCCCGGAAATCGGTGGTTGGGACACCCGCGGACATTGAAAGACCAAGGAAACTCGTAACAGACCACCGCGCATTACGTATACTGCCCGCCGGGATATGCACTCGATCCAATGAAAACCGTTTTTACCTCGCGATCCCGCTGCGAACGGTGGCCGTACTGTCGGCCACGCGAGGATTCGCGTGAATCGACGTAACCGCTAATAATAATACCGACAGTAAAGGTAATAGGAGGCCCCCGTGGCGGGGGTGAACCCTTAAATCGCTTACGGACAAACATTTTGTCGCAGTCTTTGCGTGAAACGGACTCAAAGGACGCCGGTAGCCGCGGTTTAGTTCAAGCGAGCGCTGTCCGTGCTTTGTTAACGAGTGAGACGGACCATTCTCTACCTCGTTCCCTCCTCGACAAACCGAGACGCTCAACGGAACGCTTTTCAATGGGAAACAAGCGATACTCTTTTCTTTACTTCGTCACCTATGATCTTAACCTTTCACCAGTTAAGTGTGGAATTTAGTTTGAAAAGTCTCTCATTGTCGCAATAAAATCAAATAATGAAGTGTATACTCGTTGAATGCATGCCAAATGCACTTAAAATATATCTTAACGAAAAACTAAAGCGAAACGAAGAAGAATCACATAATAAATCCATCGTTGAAAAAGTTAGCACCATTAAGAGTTTTAAGATGACGTGTATACTCGTCGAACACAGTTAACTGGTTAAGTATAGACGTGATTCGATTTTTGCACCACGGACGTCTCGCAGAGCTCTATAGAAAATATTGTGAATTTTGTGACCAGTTAAATTTATATAATTCATACCTTTGCTACGAGATATGTAACAGATATTACACCGTTAGCATAATTAAACCTAGAAATACTGACATAAATGAGATCGATTGAACAGTCTGTTACACGTCCATACTTAAAGGTTAACACGTTGAATGTTAGATTTCATAGAGCGCATAAAATGGAAGAAATGTAATATTAAATCATTCGATTGAATTGCTATTACACGTGCATCTAGTTAAATATCATCTTGGGCATTATTTAATACAGAAACGTTTTCAAATAACCGTCGTTCAATTAACTATAGTAATCTGGGGATAACCCCATGGCATTCAACGCGTTGAGACTTCGTTAACGGAGTCGAGGGAAAAAGGAGCGCAAGAGCAAGCGGTATCCTTCTCCGTATCCGTGTAACCGTTCTCCACGTTCCACGTACCGCATGAAATATTTAATAAATTCCGTACAAATAGTACCGTATCATGTTATCGGATATTTTAAAGCTCCGGTTACAAATGGAACGAATATTTCAGCATTAACGAGCAAGAAAGAATTCCATTTAGTCGGACCTCCGTAGGAATGCCCGGAACGGATCTCGGCGTACTCTTTATCATTCTTTATGAACCGTTCATTAAAATGTCACCGGCGGAGGCGAGCGAACGGTCCCATTGTCGGACAGCGCTGCTTCGCGGGATAATGTAAACGTGAATCCGCCTGCTCCGCCGAGCAGGGGGGGGGGCGGTGGGCGGGGGTCGAGGCGGGCGCGGGCGAAGCCTCTTATAGAATAATTAGTTCCGTCGAAACGAAATGGCAGTCGGTAAATTCGATAAATTTCCACTCGAAGCCGTTCGAGGACGTTAGTCGTGGCCGAGTCCTCGCTCGGAACGGGGCGATCGTTCGAGACGAAGCTCGTCGCGAGCCGGGAAATGGAAACGGAACGCGAACGAGAAGATCGAGTTGTTCGGCGGTGGCTCGTACGAGGTCGCAGTCCGAAGAAGAACACATAGTCGGGTCAGTACGGTTTCTCTGTAGAACAGGATTCGACGGCTCCTCCCCTCGTCGACTCGTAGGCCAGGAACACGAATAGTGTGGGGGTACATTTTGAATGGCAGCGCCGCGACGGCCATATTAGTAATTAACGAAAGACGGACCATCGGGTTCTCCTTTGACATCTCCTCTTTCATCTCTCTCTCTTTCTCTCTCTGTTTCTAGCTGTTTCTTTTACTTCTATCCGTTGTTTAGTTCCATCGCGTTTTCCATTCGCGTTTACATCGAGATAAGCTGGAACGTAACTCTTCGCGTATCGTTTCGCCTCGTTAATGTATCGCGCAGCGTCACGGAGGACCAGTACCGTTCACCGTACGTTCTACTATATTCTTTTCTTTTCTTTTTTTTCTTTTTATTTACACCGCGATCACGAAGTCGCGGACATTTCGTTGGCTGCTGTGGCCGCGATCGCACTCCGCCTCGCTTAGCTCAAACGCGTCGGAGAACCCCGAGGGTGGGTCCAGCTTGGGGATGAACAGGTTTCCCGATCCGTCACGCTCCTGGTCCCGATTGGAACAGGAATTGTGCGACTGGTACTTGGGATTGCCAAGCCCGGAGATTGGGCCGAAGTTGGAACGGGTCTCCTCGCTGGTATGACGCGCCAGCTGTAACATCCTGATGGGAAATCCTTGGTTATTCTTTTCTTTTGTCTCGCGCTGGTTTGGTTGCGTTATTTCATTGCGTTGAATGGGAAAGATAGTGAGACTGGTGTATGAGATTTATAATATGACAGAAGTATAATATGATGGATCTACGATACGATGGATCTCTGATATGATAGATCTGTAACACGATAGAGCTTTAATGCGATAGATCTATAGCGCCATATGTCTATAACATGACCGATCTATAATAAGATGAATCTTTAATATGATAGATCTATAACACGATGAATCTTTAATATGATAGATCTATAACACAATGAATCCTTAATATGATAGATCTATAATACGATGAATCCTTAATATGATAGATCTATAATACGATAGATCTTTAATGTGATAGATCCATAACACGATGAATCCTTAATATGATAGATCTATAATACAATGAATCCTTAATATGATAGATCTATAATACGACAGATCTTTAATATGATAGATCTACAACACGATGAATCCTTAATATGATAGATCTATAATACGATAGATCTTTAATATGATAGATCTATAACACGACAAATTTATAACACGGCAAATCTATAATAGAATAGATCTATAATGCAATTATCGATACACCGATTAATTATCTCATACGTCTCACAGTTATTTCCCAATCTCTGAGATAGAACTACAGATGGAATCTTACTTGGGTCTTCCCCGTCCAGGAAACGATTTTCTCTCAAAAATCGGTGAGGGTTCTGTAGACGTGCTAGATTCTGGTCCATGGTACAGGAAGTCTGGAAACAGAAAACGATCCGGTTTGCCACAGCGATCCAGCCGCGATGCGCCCTACAACATCTCTTCGATCCCGTACGTCTCACGGCAACAACAAGCTTTGTGAATGCTCGGTCACATTATCGGTGCACTCTAGCGAACGTAGACAGGCAACGAGAACGGACTTCCGGTGGTAACTGCGGTGCGTGGAAGATCTCGCGCCTCTCCTCCTCTCGTTTTGTTCGAGACGGTGTTCGAGCGTCGATTGTTCGCGCCGCGACTAGTAGTTCCATGTCTCTAGCAGGTGTTACAGCGAACCGAATCAACGAGACTCTCGTCTGCGGTGAATTTTACAAAAAATACCTAACCCGTTCATCGACCGTCGCTCACGCTCTAACGTCCAAGCATAAATATCGACAATTGAACAACTATTTCAAGACATTTTCGCTGAAATATTCTACTCGACAACGCATTCCGCCGTATCCGGGTCGAATCTCATCCGAGAAATATTCCGAAATACTCGAAGAAACGCTTTCCTACGGTAAATTCCGCGACGTTCGTCCGCATCGAACGACACACATCCGCGCGACGGACGAGTAGTGATCGGGCCGATAACGATACCGTCGATACGTTCGAACAATTCGATAAGAAAGTGCTCTACGGGACACACGGAAGGGACACAAAGTAATTATCGGTATCTCGTCGAATAGATACCCGTTCGATATCGCGCACATTCGATACCTAAATCTACGATCCCGATACTAGCTACACGATTTACGATCCGGAATCGATAGCACCGATTCCGTGTTCATCCGATCACTAGACGCGCACAGTCCCGAGAAGGAGAGGCTACGCGGACAAGGATGTAAGTGACCATCCAGAGATCGTGAAAGAGACAGAGAAAGAGAGAAAAAAAGTAACAGAGAGAGACAGAGAAAGACAAAGAAAGAGACAGACAGACAAAGAGAGATAGAAAGAGAGAGAAATAAAATGAGAAGAGTAAGAAAGAAAAGAAAGCGAAGAGTAGGCGTAAACCGAATAAAGAAGGATGAAAGATTGCATACTGTGGACCCGCGAGTCGGCCGCAGACACCGAGTGGTGCGAATCGACGAGGTGATTGGAAGACTCGGTTCGGCTGCTGGTCCCGACTTCCGTGTCGCTATCCGAGCCCAGGGTGTCGTATTCCTCCGACTCGGACTTGCCCTGACTGACTTTCCGCGTTTTGTGCAACGGCGCAGAGGACGAACGGCCTCCGCGCACCTTAGTGTACCGGTTGCAATCCGACTGCAATCAGACGGAATTGGTTTTTGTCGATGAATTGGCGCATCGCACGAGGAGAGAAAAACGAGGAGACGCGCCACACCGATCTTTCGCTCAACGATCCCGCTCCCCTTCGACCCCCGCGGCTAAGCGGCGGGCTCCAGATCAGAGCCATCGGCGACCCGACGCGAACCAGTTGCATTTGAAGCCAGTGCCTTCGGAACGTGGATTTCAACGGTTTCGGTGAGACGGATCGTATGCGTGTCGACTCGAAGGGAGTTCGTAAGGTGTGAATGTAAATTTAATGTTTTGGGTATGTTGAGATTGTAGCGATTGTTTGGTGTAGGTTTGAAGTGAAGGAGATCGAGTTGATCTTGTACTAGACGTGTCTTGGTTCGAGTGGAAACCAGTTTTCTGTGATAGATTTAGCGTGTTCTAGTAGAGTAGGTTCTATGATTTTATTATGATATCGTTTGAAAGTGTTTTGATGAATAACCTGTACTCTGTGGAGAGTTAATGCTTGTTTCGGTGTGAGCGATTCACAGAAATGTGGAGTCGAAATGTGGCTCAATTCTGTCTCCGTTGTGCTCTACTTATAATTTAACTAGCATTACAGCCAGTATCTCGTTAGTTTCGATATTTGCTCGGAAACTAATTGAAAATTCTCGCTTAGAGAAACGGTAGAAATTCGTAGATACGTTCATTTCAGATTATTGCATTGTACTGTGATTAACGGATCGATTATTCGATAAATTATCAATACAACCCATCAATTCGAGCAATATTTTCTGCTTCCGTATTCTAGAGCATCGTTCATCCTTACAAGTACGAACAGAGGCAGAATCGCACGAGGAACACGTTCGCGAACAGCACTGGCTCGAACCTTCCCGATCATCGTAATATCATTCTCGTGCCAGCCGAATGCTACTCCATGTTTCTCGAGTTCTCGACCCAAATCGAGCGTAGACCAACGGAGAACACGCTCGGGGTCGTGCATGGCACTGATCTAGTCGAACGATCCACACTACGGTCTCCTCTATACGCAAATATCGAGCAACGGAAAAAACATGATCGCATACGATGAATCGATTGATTGTTGTTCCTTAATGGCTACAGCTAGACGAAACTATGACAACGGTTTGGCGAGAGATGTGTAAGAATGGCGAATATACATGTAAGAGAGAAGTATCGTTTGCATCGGTGTTGCGGTTCCTCGATGGACTGATCAGGACAGATGCGAAACGAAGCAAGGTGGGACCAGCAGTCACAATGATCGAATTCTCTATGATATGCACATCTGTTCTACTCGATCCGAGGCGCGACGAGGGCGCTGCCTCTCTAACCACGCTTTCGCTAAAACTCCGCGCGACCGTGTCTTCGGTGTCGCGAGTGTCGAGAGAGAGAGATAAAAAAAAAACATAGTAGGATAGTTGTCTCTTTGCAAAGGACGTTCGTGAAACAGAGAAACTTTCGAGACAGTCACCGAGAGCGGGCGCGGATGTGCACGGGCGAAATTGTGATCGGGATTCGCGCGATGACACGCGGTCCCAGCGAAACCTGGTGGAACATGCTGATTCGTACTCGTACACCATTCCTTTTATCGTCACGTATTACAGGTACTATTCGTGTTGGTACTATTCCTCGGTCGGTCGGGAAACACACAATGCCGGCGAGCGGAGCGGTGAGGGAAGCGATGCTTTAAGGGGGACGTCTCCGTCGAGAGGAGATAAAAGGTCGTGCGTGTTCTTCCTTTTAGCGTTCAGCAATAACTCGATGATGTATGGGGCGCTTCGTCGAAGATCGTGTTACGAGTGGGCTCGAACGAGGAATTTTATGGAACTGGATATATATATATATATATATTTTTCGTATTATGTTTTATTGTATATAGAGAGATACCTATTTCTGAATCTGTAGATTGATTAACGAGTATCTCGCTTTTGGATTGGAAATATTCGTTTAACACGTTGAACGCCACGCGATATAGAGCAAAATACAGAAAACGGAAAAATATGTTATTAAGTCATTTGATTGAGTTACATTATTATTACTTTCATGTAGCTGAATGTCACTGCATTAGGTAGCGTTATTTATGATGTAGAATTGTTTCCAAATAATCGTTTAATTGAATGAACTATAGTAATCGGATTTGGTTGGGGTCACCGGTGACCCCATGACATTCAACGTGTATTGTATGATTATGATCTGTTTTTTAGATAGAAAGCGCCTGGTAGTAGGCAAACTATTGCTTGCCTTGCATTACGCGTAGTATACTGTAGTGGAGCCAATTAGTTTTGTATAGTTACGGGAGCATTAACACTGAACGTACCGGTATGTTGTATATACCTGTTTATATTATAAAATAAAGGTAAAGAAATGAAACTAGTTTTCTTAGTGAAAACAGAATAAAAGACGAAAATGAATAAACTGATTGATTTGACAGTCTAAGAATTGATATAACGTCAGAATAAAGCAGAATTTTTAATCAAATTTGGAAACCGGTCATTTGACCGGTACGTTTACTGTTAAAGCTACTAATAAATTCACGTCAATCATATTAAGAGAACTCTCTTTGTAAAATTGATCTGTTTATGAAACAGTTTATACTACGTTATATTTGCGTCAAGAGCAATTTCTACTTTCAATGTATTCACTGTAAAGTGATATGAGGAGAGTGTTTAATACAATAAAAATTTATAAATTCAGAATTATATATATTAAATAAATGAATATATAAATATATAAATATATAAATATATAAATATATAAATATATAAATATATAAATAAAATTTATGTATTAACCAGTTAACTGTGGAATAAAATCGAAAAATAGAACGTTTCCCCTTTGAACGCAGGACGAATGCACATAGAGTATATTTTAATGGAAGATCAAAGCGAAACAAAGAAGAATTACAAGTTTATATGAAAAAATAAAGAATTCATCGCTGAAAGAATTGATATCATGTCAAGCTTTACAATGACGTGTATACTCGCCAAACACAGTTAACTAGTTAAATATTTATAAATGAACAGAATAAAAAGTGACTCGATATTTGGTTAAAATACTCGTAACACTGTACTCGTCCCAGAATAACGAGCAACGGTTTCTCGACGGTTCCCAGCGATTGGTTAATGCACGAACTTTTATCTCAGAATCTCGGTTCCAGTGTCCGGAAGCGGAGACGGTCAGCGTGCCTGGACGAAGGAAGGGCATGCGGTGTGCGCAAGTGTGTTTTCCCAGTGGCTCGATGCTCGGGTGAATAAACACGATAGGTGAATGGTGGAAAAGCGATCGTGAATGACAAAAGCAAATTGAACGGCGGACGATACCTCTCGTAATTGAAGAGTGTCGGCGGCGGAGAGACGAGGATCGTGATAGACGAAGGTTTGAAGTGGCGCGGCGGAATTACACCGACTGTCGCCTCCTGGCGGGACGCTCTCCTCGAGCTGGAACGTCGCGTACGGATAGATCTCCTCCGAGTATTCTGAAATCGTTCCACGGCATCAGTCACCTGTTTTCAATCAACCACTCTAACGTCCTCTAAACAAAATTCCCATTTCTCTATGACGCATAGGTAACGATGCTGTTACCGGTCGATTATCGTAATCTCCGATTAGAATGATCTTGCGGCAACTTGGAATAATTCATTTTGAATTAGTTGTAATTGGAATAATTCATTTTAAATTAGTTGTAGTTGGAATAATTCATTTTAAATTAGTTATAATTGGAATAATTCATTTTAAATTAGTTACAGTGTGTTCGAATGTATCAGCAAGATATTTAGCTTCTGCTTCAAGAAACGTGAATTTAGGTAGTCGCAAGTGTTAACCCTTTGCAGTCGCGAGGTGATAGTCACCACTTGATTTGAAAATTATGAAGCTTTATATTATGTTAAGCTTTAGTGCATCGATGTGTGAAATATTGAAATTTGTTTTACAATTTACGTATGTTTTCTTATTACTTAGTTTGGAAGAATATTAGTTTTTCTATTGAAAAACTTTCGACTGCAAAGGATTAACTCTTTGCACTTCTTTCGCATTGTTTAATAACTCTGTATTATTACATTCTATTTTTAATGTACTTTAAAGAATAGTTAGTCTGTAGAGAACAGTGTAAACGATTCTTACCAATAATATTAAAAATAACATAATAATATAATTTCTTTCAAAATATCTTGACAAAGAATCACACCTCTGAACAAAACTGACGAGTCACGCTCGATATGAGTGCAATGGGTTAATATATTAACCCCTTGTCCTACGAGTGAGACTCGTGAAGATTTTCAACATAACTCAACAAATGTATATATTACTCAGTTCATTCGAATTCAAAGTATTATTCCTCTGTAATCAACTATTATACTTAAAAGGAAATATAGACGTAACATATACTTAGAATTTTTCTCTTTTTCCAATAAATTACTAATGACAAGGAATCCGTATCCGTCAGAGTTGAGAAATAGGTCAAGAGGTTAATAACGAGTTTACTTTAGAATATAGAAATCACTAGGATCAATGATATTTTCTTCGTTTACCTGGGATCTTCTCTAAAGTAGCCATCTCGTGTATGGGCGACCGCGGCGGTTTCCGTACGGTGGCGTAGTATTGTTCCCGCTGCTCCATGTTTTGTTTATTGTCTAAGGCGGCAGCGGTTTGGGCGTCGTGGAGGCTTGCGATTTCCCCTATAAACGGACCTACGGTCATCGTCATTAACCGGTTACGGCCGCGTGTACACGTGCACGTCGCGAGCCGCGTGTAAATACGTATATACGCAGGCATGCGCACTGCCGCTCAAAAGTTTCGGGTGTACGCGCATCTGAAATTCACGGTTCATCCTGTAGTCTGTCCAACGAGCGCAGACGGTGAACATAAATAGAAATTTATGCTAATAAACTCAAGTGCCACTGAGACAACGGTATACAGGTAGCCGAACTAATCCAATTGCTATCTTCCGCGATATTGATCGTCGACGATCACGGTTCTAGAACACGTTTATTTTCAAATGATGTCAGTTCGACTTTCAATCTAACTTGTCCATCGAACATTCGATTAACGTTAATTTTATCGAAGGAAACTTCGACGGTGCCAAAAGAATCTTATTCTAAAACGGATCAGAATGACCCATTTCTGATTTACTCTTTTTGCAATTATGAAAGAGATGACATGTTTCTCTGTGAAATTATTGGAGAAATTAATCTACCAATACGTAAACTGAATTGTAGGTCAATTGAAGTATCTATAGACACTGGAGTTTCTATAGAGGAATTTCAAAAAGTCAATATTACTCATCGTAATTGTAGTGTTAGCATTGTTAACACGAACGACCAAGTGTTCACTGTAACAGGTTGTCTTGAATTAACAATGAACCCGTTGGATTCGAAATTTTTGAGCGCCGATGCGTGCGGAAATAGGTTTCTACTAACGTTTCCGGAAACAGTAAAATACAGCGCCAGCCGCGGTGATAATCGCCAGAGAGCACAGTATCAGGGGGATAATCAGCTTCAGATCCGAGTAGACCGAGGAATGCTGCGGTATGTACTGATCGATCTCGAACGCCGGCATCGTGCTGCTGGTGTGAGACTGCAAAGTTGTTATTCTGTACTCGGCGACCGAGAAGCCCGCGTTATTGTGCGCCCTCACGCGGATGTCGTAGGTCGTTCCGGATTGCAGCTCGCTGAGCGTGTACGTCTTTTGTACCTGAACAACGGATACATGAATCGTTACTGGGAATAATCGGCGGCTCGCGTCGTTCGGTTGCGCGTCGCCGACACGCGATGCGTTTTTCTGTATCTTGGACGAAAGAGAGATCGCCTGAGTAACTACCAGCCCTAAGAAGTCGGAACAGATATCCTTATCTATGAAAAATCAACTGTGACGTTCGAAATATCACGAAAATACGACTGCGATTTGCAGCACGATCGTCTCAGAGTTCTCTGAATCTAGTTACTCTAAAGTAAAAGCGTATTCGATTCGTTGATAATAGAATTTAACCCTTTGCACTCGAGGACTCCGAAGCAGAGCCATGTAAAATTTGTCATTAAATGTATTATAATATTTATAATTGATAAGAGACAGTAAAATATATCTATGACTTTTCTTTTCGTGCCTGTATCATTTATTTATATGTTAATATGCTTTTTATATTACAATTACATCTAATTAATGTCAGTAAGAAAAGCTTCGACTGCAAAGGGTTAAACTGGCCACGTTAAACGTTTCTCAAGTGAACGATACAATCGATCAAGAAAAACTGTATTAAGATTCCATTGTGACAGATTTTTCTAGAATTCTTGAACAGGTACGACGGCTTTCTAAATCTATTAACTAAAAAATTAACTAAAAATATTAGGTAGCAATATACTGTCATCACGACTTATTACATGTATGCGGAATGTCTAATAAACACGAAGCCGCTTCGACTCGATTCAAGTTCATCACGATTACTTCACCGTCACAGGAACCTATAGTGCAAACAAAACTATCGAACACATCGAGAACAGAGTAATTCCGAGTGAGATGGCTCGATCTCATTTAAACTGTCAAATGCCCGTATCAATTGCTTTCAGTGGTACACTGAATCCTGTATAGAGGCAATTTAACTGTTATTCTCATATACAAGGTACGCCGTTTGAGTGCATACAATGGAATACCTTGTAAAGTATTAAATTTCCACCGTACATACTTAATGCACCTTGTATATTCTCTTTTGCTACGTACCAATGACACTTACGATGTTAACACTTTGACTGCCACAAAACACTCAAAACTCCCATATACTCGAAACAGTTTCCTTCATTAACCAGACACTGAAAAATCAAGATTCTTCCTAATAATTGCTCCACTGTCATTCTTATATCTCATATATCCAACAAAATTCAGTTTGTTCGATACGTCACGAAGAAAATTAATCCTTTAGGACGAATGTCGACATTTTAGCGAGATCAAACTTTCATGTTCGAAGTACTAAGCTACAAATGATTTCACTATTGAAACAGCAAGGAAACAGTACATGGTCTATTCTCTATTATTTATTTTATATATAATTTGGCAGAATCTGCAGAAGATTCTATATAGTTTAAACAATCTTCATAAAGAGTTAATGTCCAAATTTAATACTGTCACCCGAATTCAAATGACGTAGCAGTGAAAATGTTAAAAGTGCGCCATCTCCCCGACTCACCCCGTTCGTACTCAATATTACTATCTCCACGGTTAGAATCTGTACCTCGATGTTATTCGAAACCAACGTCCAAATGTCCTCGCCGCTCCTCCTGTACTCGAGCTCGAAATATGTGATCGGGCACCCGCCGTCGTTCCACATGCTCAGATGAAGCGTGATCCACGAGATGTTCACCGTCACGAATTTATTGCCGTTGCTCGGCGAGTCGTCGGGCTTCGATCCGTTCGTGGTGGCCTTCACGATCTCGCTGGGCGACCCCATGCCGATCCGATTGTACGCGGTCAAATACATCTGATAATCGTTCCCGCACCACAGCGGCGACAGAACGAAACTGTTGATCTTGTGGGACACCTTCACCTCCTCCCATTCGCCGGACTCGCGTTTGTAATGGAGAATGTAGCCCCTGATCGGCGCACCGCCGTCGTCGCCGTTCTTCCATTGCACGTTGATCGAATCGCTGGTGGCGCTGGTCGCGTGGAGCAACGGGGCTGCCGGTGGAACTGCGGAACCATCGTCCCGGAATTATTATTGCAGTACCTAGAATTCTTAGCGTAGGTTAAGGTATTTTTAAGGGATTTCTAGTCTATCGTTTAATTGCTGATCCTACGTTCATGTGACATTTTAGATATGTATAACTCAAATCGAAAGTAAAATTTACAAAATTGAATTCCTTATTCTCTTCCGTAAGTTATGCGGCTCGAATTAACCCCGTGCACTACTATTCAGCCGGGCAACATCCAGGATGATTTCAGTGACCGATACCTTAGTTGTGTCGCGACCTTTTCTTCTTTTTTAAGTTTCATTTGCGTCGATATTTGTTTATAGACAGGAGTAAATCAAATTTGAAGCAGCTTTATAGTAATATTTTGGCGAAGAAGTCACTTGAATATAGTTTCTTGCTTTGGCGCAGTGTGATATGTTTTAATTATTCGTATTTAATTCGAAATTGTGCGAAAGGTTATATATTGTCGATTGAGAGTGTCCAACATAGTTTCTACATCACTATAAACGCACAGATTTAATATCAACCAGTGGAATCCAGTTTCCTCCTGTTCCCTAGTTTCAGAATGATAGAATTCTTAAATAGTAAATAACCGTAATCCACCAGTGCAACATATTACTCACAAATACGAATGTTTCGTAACAAAGCTAATATTCCCATGTTCAATGACGCGAGGATGCTAAAAGTTCCGGAACACAGCTACTAACTCTTTATTCCAAAGCGTCATGCTCGAAAGAGGCAAACGAAGGAGAAGAAGAAGTCGGCGAGCTTATCCTCGCGTTTCCTCGAATAAGATTCTTAATTGCGAAATCTCCTCGCTTCGCTGTTCGAAAGTATTCCGCGTTCTCCGCTCCGGCGCAAACCAGCTGTAATGAAGATTGTTTGGGAGGGACTGGGTTGTTCTTGCCAGGGAAAGGGAGCACTCGAGGAATTCTGAACCGTTGGAGCAGCATTGAATGCAAATTGCCGGTTAAGTCGAGGTTAATCCCCATCGAATTTTTCGACGGGGACCATTCGGGCCGGGAGTATATACCTTGCACGGTTAAACGATGCGTGATGTGGTCGGAGCCATGGCGGTTCTCCACGTAGCACGTATAATTCCCGCTGTCCTCCCTGTGAAGATCCATGATCTGCAACGAACCGTTCTGTAACAGGGACACCCGCGCCGACGATTTCACTATTTGGCCCCATTGTTTCCACGTCACCGACGGCTCCGGCTTCCCGACGCTCTGGCACGGCAGCGTGACGACCTGCTTCCAGGGAACCACCAGCACGGTGCCGAAGGAGTACACCGATGCCCGCACTGGAACAATTCCGAATATTGCTTATTATAAGTCTCCTTGTCGCTTCACTCTTTACCAACCTTCTAATCTCGCTTTGATTTCTACTTCATCGCACTCTAGTAGCGATAGGCAGATTTTTAACCATTTAGCTACTGTACTATAGCTTTTGTAATATTGTAGTTTTAAGAGAGTGGGACAGCGAGTGTTCTAAGGGCCATAACAGAGAAAGGGAGTCATGGAGACCTAGCCCAAGGGTTGGTGGGTTTTTTTTCGAAGGATGTGTAAGCGAGGATGATGAGTGCGTGGTAGTGAGAGTGGGATTGAGAATTTGTTGGAAGTTTAAGAAGAATGCTTGTGGGGGAGAGAATGGTTTTTAAGTGCGGGTGGTGAGAGATTTTGAAAAGACCTGTACACTGCGAGCTATATCGTTTCTATTCATTTGTATTTTATTCAATTATCTATTCCTATGTTTTTTTAAAATCCTACACAGTACATTGAAAATCCTACAAAAGGAACCGTCTCTCCAAATCTCGACTACAACACCATTTTTCCTCAGAGACACCTGTATCAAACTTCAACCTAATATCTCGCAACAAAGAGTACCGCTCATCCCGCAAGAATAAAAGCAACCTCGTCATCATAACGCAGTGCGGTCTCGATAACAGAAGTTCAATGCACGCCAATGTAACTCACCTTCGTTGGAAGGGGCGATGGTGATAGGCTGCGTTCGCGGCCCCTCGCCGACCGACGTAACCGCCGCGATACTGAACTCGTACTGATTCCTCTTCTGCAAACTTTCGACCTGATAGCTGGTCTGGTGCGGCTGCATCGAGCGTTTGTACCATTCTCCCTCCGGGCCGACGCCGCGGATGTGGACGTTGTACGAGGTGATGTTTCCGTTGCTTCTGAGGGGCGGTTGCCAGGACACGATAATTGACGTCGCCGAGCTGACGACCGCCTTCACGCCGGCCGGCACGTCGGGCAGGTCCTCCTTGGTGACGCAATAGTAGGGCATCGAGGCGACCCCGTCCCCGGCCCTCGTCGAGGCCAACACTTGGACAGAGTAGTTCGTGTACTTGCCGAGGCCGTGGATCGCGACGGTCAGTGCGTTCGTGTTCATCTCGGATTTGCTGGTCTCCGTCAGCGCGTCCATGTTCTCCCATATCACCTTGTACCCTTTCAAGATGCCGTTCAGACTGTAGTCGGGCGGCGTGTCCCACGAGACCTGCAGTGATTGCGAGGAGAGCGCCGTGCACCGTATGTCTTGGGGCGGGCTGCTCGGCACTGAGGACATTTCGACGCCGTCAGAAATCAATTACCCGTTGACGCTCATCCGTCGTGACCGGGCCGCGCGCCGCGAGGACGCGGTGTCCCGGCACGATTCTATCTTAGCTAAGAGCTGCGGCGATGTTTAACTCTTTGCGGACGAGAGTACTTTGAAATGTACAGTCTTCAACGGATGAAGTTGAATTGAATGTCAATTGCTTAATTCATAGGAAAAAAAAGAAGCTACGAGTTGATCTCTTGATGTTAATTGTATCATTCACCTGCGACTTAGTCTTCCAAATATGAACACTCCGTCTCAGAAATATATTCGTCCGCAAAGGGTTTTGACCCCTTGCTCTGTGATTTCTTTCACGGTAATTGAATCGCTCGGAAGCTGGCGCGGTTAAGTGCGGAAACGGATTGAGACGTTATTCACTGTTTTTCTATGGTTGTTTTAGTTTTCGCTACTTCGCGCAGTTTAGGTGCATGTTCAAGACAACGAGGAAACGAAGAGACTAATGGGAAGTGTTAAACTGAGAGCACGAATGTTTTCTATATTTTTTTCTGAATTCTTTAGTAAGTAAAATGATTATTTATTTCTTTAAAATTTACAAGAACCGGGAAATGAGAAATGGACTTAACCGTACCGCTAGAAGAATTTTAAGGACACTGTGTCTTCGTTTGGTATAAAGTATAATAATTGATATCGAAGGAATATTTTATTTGATTTCGAAAGAATTGAGTAAATTTGACGTTTGTTGAATACTATTTTAAATTTGTGTCGTGAGTCAGAATTTATTAATACTTAAATAGATTTTTTTAATAGAAATTGCAAGTTTCTTGCATACCACAGACAGAGAACATTCATTTTTGGATCGAGTCGAAACGAAATGGCACATAAAGTACTAACACACGGACCAGACACTTTATTGCAACGAATCGTTTCATTTACGACGAATATTCCAAAATAACTTAAGGTCAGAAATCACATCGCATAAAATGCTTCACCAAAAGAAATTATTTTATCTGATAATTCCCCTGACACTATCCAACCGAGATGAATTCTCCGACACGTCCATTTATAGTTGCAAAATACATCCGCCGGACACTGTTCAAGCTTTATACTTCCACCGATATCGCGAACGCTGTTTATTTATATCATTCCCGAACGCATAAAACGCGGCAGATTAATAATTCCCGGAACATAACACTACGATAACCATTTATCGTACTCTTATAATCGTATCAGTTTTAATAATACATGTTTATCGAGGACATCGCACCCGTCGAATTCCGTGAACACACCACCCCGTAATTTAAATACTTTCCGCGGCGAAGCATATCATTACGATACCGGCGGATAATCGCAAACATTCATCGTCTCATAAGTTAAACAGCGCACAGTCGAACCGGCCCGCGAGCCGACAACAGGATTCCTTATTGCACGTGACGTAATCGAGGTTAAGAAGTTTTCGAAACAGACTGAACCTCCTATTATGTCAGCTCCCCGTACAACGCAGGGCATAACAGTAAAACCCTCCGAGTCCGTCCTGGGGGCGGCCTGAATATCCGGGAATAGATTCGAGCGAGCGAGCGAGCAGCTTGAACTTGGCGTCTGTTTATTTCGCCCAAGATGTCCGTAAGAAACACTCCGCCGGCGGAAGTTCGAGGCGCGGAAAGCACTCCGGAGTTTAACCGGGCCGCATTCACGACGGTCGGGATTAAAGAACTTATTTGCAAGCAGATCAGTTCCAGGGAGCCAGGCAATTCGCCCCCGCTTTTGAATTTATTATTTATTCGAAACTCGACCGGATATGCGCTGGTTGGTATTCATAGCGGAATCCATGGCAGGCTCGCGAGCCGCCGGTATTATTCCGTTCATGAATTTTTGAGCACGGCCCGGCCGCATTCGTTAAATCTTACCCCGTTAATGCCGCCGCCTCCGCTTTTCACGCCCGAAAGATCGATCGAGTTATCGATTATATTAAGTTACCGAACGAATTCATTATCCGCGGCGCTTCACGGACAGACCGCGCCTCCCCCTTACCGTCCTCGAGGGTGGTCGCGACCACTTCCGGCGTCGTGGGACCCTGGCCGAGCGCGTTGTAAGCCTGCACCACGACATTGTACCGGGTGAACTTCTTCAAGTTCGTCAGTTGGTATTGTCTGCCGGGCATCGAGGGCCTCGCTAATCCTAAGGCGACGCTCGCTGTGGAAATTGGTCGCTCGACGGTCCTGTAGGTGTACTGGTCCGCTGCCAACCTAGACACGATAACGTTTAACTGTTGCGACTCCGGAACTTTTAATAGTCGCTCGGCGCGACGGAGCGAGCTGGATATTTGCTGATGATTAAGCTTGTCGCGGTTCTCTCGCCGGAGAAGATGCTCCTGTGATTCTCTTAGGATCGAGAGTATCTTTAACACTTTGACTGCCACGAATTCGGGTGACATTTTTTACAGAAACGTGGACTAATTTTTTTCGTGACGTATCGAACCGAATTTTGTTGGATACACGAGATATAAGAAAGACAGTGGAGCTATTAAGAATCTTGATTCCTCAGTTTCTGGTTAACGGAGAAAACTGTTTCGAGTACATGGGACTGATGAGTGTTTGGCAGTCAAAGTGTTAACAAGAACGCGATTCGATGATGAAATACAAGCAAGGATTAATACGTTCGCTGTTCCTGGACATCAAATTCTGGTTACTCAAAAAACACACATTCAGCATTCCAACTTCATCGATCCGAATACTCCCAGCCACCGAGCAAGAAACAGACAGTGGGAAGCGAGCAACGGAGAGATCTATTGTTATTTCCATCGGCTGAACGGGAGACCGCCGAAAATAAGAGCACGCGAGCGACCGGACGCGGCGTGACGTTCCCGAAATATTTCAGCGTCAATGTTTTTTCGAAGGAAATGAACGAGGAGGACGTTGCCGCGGTCCGGTTATTTATCACGGCGGCTGGGACGTGTAGAGTATCAGTGTTATTCGAGAAACGCGCGAGGCACGGTGCAATTTGGTATGCCCCAGCGGAACAGGAAACGTATTCGCAGCTATCGACGCGGCATCGTTAAAGGCCGCCGCTGCCAACCCGTCCCTTCGCCGGATCGTTACCGATGTTCCTTGTAGCCGATGTGGTAGCCGAGTATCTCGCCGTTCCATAAATCATGATCAGGTGGATCCCAGGTGACGTTAAACTCGGTCGAGCTGACGGGATCCACCTTGAGATTTCGCGGCGGTCCGCCGGGCTTCTCGCCCTCGGTGGTCGTTTCCAAAATCTGCAACGGAAAGAACCGAAGAGGAACCGCCGATCGAGAGATCCGACGGCGAGATTTGATCAGCCGCGATCGATCCTCCCCCGTTACGTTCGCGTGTTTCTTCAGACGCGCGATCGCTCTCGCGGGAACGCGCGGAACGTGATCAACCCTGAAAAGACTAATAAGGGACGCCCCGGGGGCTGCTACGCGCGATCTCAATGAAGTTTCGCCTGGTTCGGCAGTTTACGTTTATGGTACACGTAATAGCGTATTCGAGGATAGAACCGGATGCTTCTGAGAAAACGGAGAACGAATGTCGACGCTGTGTAACGGCGTTCTGATTTCTGATTGAAACGTGTTTTGAGATGATCTTTGGGAGGAAGTGGGGAGTTTTGGTGCTGCGTTTTTTGGAGATATGGTGTTTAGTATAGTGTCTTTGGTTTTCTTTTAGTCTTTTTAAGGTTGATCTTTTTGATGTTGAAGACGATCTCAATTTTTAACACTCGTAAGATTTGCGTTAGAAATATTCGACACTTTCCGATGAGACAGACATTTGGAACGAAGTAATGAGGAACGTAAATTAAGAGAAAGCTGTTTTATATAAATGTTTCACGTATTGATGCATTATACGAAACTTAATATTATATATAAGACTTTGTAGTTTTGTTATATTAAATGATAACTGAGAGTCACCTCTCGAGTGCAAAGGGTTAAGATAACTTTTGTGAAAGCTGCTCGAATGGTTGTAGAATTGAGATCATTTATCATTTCATATTGGTTCTTTTGTTTCTGTTAACACTGAATTGAAGTTTTCTAGAGGAATGGTGGAATTTTACAGGATGTACCGTTTTCTTACTGACTAATGAAAAAAATGGATTGTAAACATAATCTGAGCTACGTACGTTTTTAGATTCTGTGATGTATCTGAGATAATAACGAAGTATTCTTTTATCCGATATAACGCAGGAATAATTATGTTAACGAGCAAACATATTAAAATATAATAACATAACAAGAATCGATGCACGCCAGAAACCTTTCAACCGTAATTATTAAAACATCAGTTCCCGTTATTATACCCGCTCCCAGCCCCTCAAATTTACATGGTAATTCATTAGCAGCCGATTCGCGATATTAATCCGATCCGTTTACACAAGCGCTGTTTACCAATTCAGATCGTTGCGGGCTGCGTTTGCTAAGTTCGCCTATAGCCAACCTTAAACACGGCTGTTCGCAGTTAAAAGAAAAAGTTTACTTAGCAAGAATTAATATTCACCAAAGATTGATGTAAACGACCCGCAATCGTACATTACGAGTTCTACAAATTTTTAATTAATCATTCACGAACCAACGAGAAACACATTCGTTCCTCTCGCGAAACGTACCGATACCCAGGAAGAATCTGGTACACCCCGAGCAAACTATTTTAACCCTCAGAGTGTCAACGTCACTGACGTTTAACACTAGGTATACGGAACGCGTCAATTCGACGCAGATCGATTATTATAAACATTATTTGGTAAATGTTTCAATCGGTTTTCGTCGATCCAATTACACGAATATGAATCCTGATTGTCTATTTAATCTAAATGAACGAATATTAACTTCCCCAGGAACAATAGAATACACTGTACAATAAATTCCCGTAAACCTAGTGTTAACATTCCCGCAAACAGCACGACCACCAACAGATAATATTTACTGTACCTTACAAACGTTTCAGCGCATCGATATAAATAATAAAACTCCTATAGACATTCTCCATAAGCCAAATGTATCTCGTTAAAGTTGCATGTCAATTATCAAGAGAATTCCGCCAATTACAAACGACACTCAAAGGATTAAATATCCATTCCATAGCGGGAATAAACCTCAAACAGATCGAAAAGCGTGTCGGCCCGTTCATTTTTAATCGAGCACCACTGTTTAACGTTAAACAGCCGGGTCGGATGGAATTCAACGAGCAAGAAAATTGCTTGTTAAATATACCCGAGCAGGTTGCTTTTTAAAACACGGTTTGACGTTCACCGGAAATAAATCGGCTTCCATACGTCAATCACTCGGCGCGCGCCGAGTAAAAATCGCCTGTCGCGAGTGGCTGACGTGACCAGCAACAAGTAGGCGAAACGGGGGGATCGATTGCGAGCATCGCGATACGATGCGATACTATACGATACTTACGTCGCTCGCCTGGCTACGACCGAGCTCGTTCTCCGCGTAAATTCGGAACTGATAAGTGACCGCTGGACGCAAACCGCTCACGCGCGCGTGGGCCTGGACGCCCGGCACCGTCGTGTGGAACGTGTGCTCGTGCCACACTTCTGTAAAACGAATTGGCCCGATTACCGGCAGATACAGGCTGCAAGTGGAATTATCCATTATCCGAACCGGCGTTATCTGAAACCCGCTGCTATCCGAGAGCTTTACTGCTTGAACGTTTTATTAGGCTGATGGAGTACGGTCTCTCCGACGAGCTTCGAATCTCTGAAACCGTTACCATTACGTCGAATCGTTTCGCCCCGCCATTTTTGTAAATTATTTTCGCCGCTCGGACACCGAAGAACTCTTCTTTCCTCGATATAGGCCAAACACGCGGGGTATTTGTAATCTAACTGAACGTACTGTATAGAAAGTAGTTTTTAGCGATGGAAATGGCTTCGAATTTTTGTATCGTTCACGATTTAAGATAACACTTTTCTTTTATGCTTGGTATTATATGCTTGAAGAGCTTTCGTTTACTCACCAGTGTCGGTCTTGTACTCGACAATGTACTGCGTGATGGGACTGTTGCCATCCTGGCTGGTCATCCAGCTGATGTTGATGTATCGGCTGCCTTTCTCGACCACGCGGAGGCTGCGCGGAAAGTCTGGCGGTTCTGTTTCGAAATGAGATAGAGTCCTTAATGACCATTATGCATCTTATGACCTATATGTATTAACTCTTTGCAGATGAAGGTTCTTCGAAACATACGAAACCTTCGACATATGAAGCTAAATTATATATCGACTGCTTAATAGAATTAAAAGGAAACTACATTCTGATCTCTTGCTATGACTGATTAAATTTATTCGCGAGTCTTCGAAATACGAACATTCCATCTTACCGAAACGCCGACATCCGTCCGCAAAGGGTTAATACTAGAATCATCGAACAGGTTAAAGTAACTTCCCCAACTTCTGTCACATTTCTTCGAACGAGACTGAAATTCTGAAATAAATCGGCACAGTGACGCGCGGGATCTATAAATCGATGAGAATCTCTTAATACACCTTCATTTCCCTGGAAAAGAAACGTTTATCTCGACTGCTCGGTCAGTGAAACATCATTCCCGAAGGCGTGAACGACAAGCCGCAAGAGATCTCGGGAAGCTTCTTTTTTCGCGATCGCGTGCGTAGGTCGTTACGCAACGCGGAACGTTCAGCCGATCAGTATTTCATTCCGCGAGCGAACGTGCGGTTATCTCTCCTTTGCGCCGGCGCTCGCGCGGCAACGCATTAAATTAAATGGACGAGTTGCCGGAGCATCGGTGTACATTACGATAATCACGCGCAGCGCCGCAACGTTATATGTAAATACCAAGGACCTGGAAACATTATCGGAATTGTTCCGTCGCAACGACTCGCCGCATTATGCCGATAATATCGTTATCGGGGATTATCGGGCGTAACCGATGCAAAAGGAGAGAGAGAGAGGGAGAGAAAAAAAAGGAGAAACCGGAGAAAAAAGTAAACCCGAGAGGAAACGCCTCCGGATCCTCGTCTGTCAGGCGAGTCTCCGATTTTCCAGCTGTTTCGTCTCGATTTTCCAGGCTCGGCTCGTGATTTACGGACGTCCTTGCGCCGATGCTCAATGATAACGTTAATAATTCCGCCTCGAGCCGGGATCGCCGCGGTTGTTTTTCTTCCTCCGCCGTTCCCTGTCGCTAACGCGTTTAGCCTATTTCGCTTTATACGTTCAGTCGGTAAACTGGGCGCGGCGCGACTTCCGCCGGAAGTCGAGGAGCCGAGTGGTAAACGAAAACTGCGCCATTTTTTAATTAGTTCATTCAGCTGGAACGTTATGAAGTTTCCTCGCTCGTCCAGTTTCTTGGGACGTGACCGTTTCAGTCCTAACAAATCTTTCGAATATTCTCCTTAACGCTATATCTATACTTGTACACTTTATTCTATCGTTTTTAGAGAACTACATGTTTATTTATATAGATCACAGAAATTTGTGTTTCAAGAACATTACAAAGTATATTTACGTAATAGCATCCATCGAAATCAACTTGAATTGTATCAAATAATGTTTGAAACGTTTAATATCCATCAAAACGAGTTCCGTAAATCTAGTGTTAACACTAGAACGTAACAGTCAAAATGTCTCGGTTTTCTTGTTTCACTATTATTGACATCTTCAAAGCATTGAATATTTGAAATGAAAATAGTATCACTTGAGTACTATAACGAACGTCTGAAAAAACCGAAAATAATCTATTGTTACAATTTCTGTAGAGATTCCATACCAATCGTATTAAACGCTTGGTAGTTCTAGTGTCAATAAAAGAAATTCATAGTTTCTACACAACGTTTGTTAACTTCAGTTTATTCGAATGGAAAGTGAAGTTTATCCCGCCGCGTTAGGTTCCGCTTGAGTACAGAAGTATGCGTGAATCCGTAATCATTCGGTACGCTTTATGCCGGCCGTAATCAACAGGATTTACCAAGTTTGGATGAAGGCAAACACAGGTATTCAACAGTCCGAGGCAAATATTGACGTTGGTAAGTTTCTACCATGAATCTGTTGCTTACCTTGTATATACAGGTGAATCGTCATTTCGTCGTTGCCGTGCTCGTTCGACGCGATGCACACGTATTTCCCGCTGTCCTCGCGGCTGGTGCTGAAGAACTCGAGGGTGCTGATCATACCGTCCGTGGTGTTCTCCTCTTTCAGCATGTAACGGTAATCGGACAGCTTCTGCTCCAGCTGCGCGCCGGTCTTCTTCCAAAGTATTTTCAACGGGTGATCGCCCTTCGCCTCGCAGCGCAGCGACGCGTTTGAGCCCAGCCGCGCCGTTTGATTGCGATGCTTCTCCACAAACTTCGCCGGAACTGCGCGCAAATAGTCCGGAATATCAATCGGCCGCCGCCACCGCGGGAAACGGGGTCGATCGAAGGGATGCCGGTTCACGTCGTTCATATTTAAATTAGGAACGTTTAGCGGGGACAGCACGCTGTTGCGTGTCTTTGATCGTTTCGCTTAACCGGAGTCTTCCGGTGCTCTTCTCGCGATGAAATTCAACCGACCTGACACTAAAACTATCAAGTTTAAACTGACTCATTGAAATTTCTTTATAGACACTTTAAGAGTGCTTTTATCGAGACTTGATCTACAATGCAGTTTACGTATTGGTGGATTAATTTCTTTAACACTAGAACTACCGTACCAGTCAAAATGACTGGTTTCATTTGTTTGTTTCGCATTGAATATTTGAAATGATTTTGGAAATAAATAGTTTCACTTGAGTACTATGATGACTATCCAAAGAAACTGAAAATAATCTATTTTTATAGAGATTGCATATCAATTGTATTAAATGCTCGGTAGTTCTAGTGTTAACTTCTCAGAGAAACATCTGTTTTTAATAATAAAAGGGAGACATCAGGAATGAGTTCCCACCTGTCTGGTAGTTTTAGTGTTAAGTTTATTTTCGCGACTCTTATTTTGATATGATCTAAGGAAAAACTTCATTTCATTCCTCGCTTCTGGAACAATGTGTCTGTGTCTTTCCGTATTGAAATATAGATCTAAATATAGATCACTACATAGTTAGCATAGAAAAAACATAGTCTCTTCAAAGTAATTCTCAAGCAAGTAATCCTAATTTCACTGTACCCTGCACTAGAAAAGTCATCAAACTCTATCAATCGTATATTCTACCATCCCTTACACCCTCCTCAACATAATTCTACCAACACTTCTCTCCTAGGAAGAATAAAATTAGTCAAAACACAGCAATCACCTGCAATTCAGTGATCCAATTCAAAACAAAACCAACATTACCCAAAAGACTCGAACCTCTAACCCTTTCGCGACGGTGCACCCGTACCATTCTTCACTTTTCGCAACAGTGCGAGTGACCATACTTTGCGAAAGCGCAAGTGAACCATACTTCACCTCCAATGCATTTATAGCTTTATTTTGAGTTCGCTATTGAAATAAAATAATAATACAAAAAAGCCAACAGTGCGACTGACCATACTTTGCCAATTTTCGCGACGGCGCGACTGACCATACTTCGCCACCAATGCATTTATAGCTTTATTTTGAGTTCGCTGTTGAAATAAAATAATAATACAAAAAAGCCAATAAGTGACTACCGTATCTATACGGCGTCAGCCTCTGTGGACCAAAAAGTGGCTACCGTATATACACGGCACCCGTCGCGAAAGGGCTAAAGACCCTACTACTCCACGCTCTCGTAACACATGACGACAACCAACGACACAAAGACGACACCAACGACAGAGACACTAAAGCATCAAACTTCTTACCATTCACAGTGAGATGCACGACTTTGCTGAGGCCGGCGCCGATCCCGTTCATCGCCTCGCACAGATAGAAGCCCTCGTGGTCCTCCTGCACCCTGGCGAACACCAGCGAGCCGTTCGAGTGTATCCTCAGGTCCTGCGCGTGCTCGTGAGCGGCGATCACGCGGTAATCGCCGGGCTGCTTGCCGCTGGCGCGCCGCCACGTGACTTCCGGCGGCGGGAAGCCGTCCGCGTGGCAATGGAGGACCAGCCGCGACTTGCCCTCCGAGGCGCGAACATCTTGCGGCTCCATGTCCCATCGGGGCGGCACTGTTCCACAACACCGGTCGTTAATTCAACGCCAGCCACGGATGAGGGCTCGCGACGCGGCGCGGTGCCATCTGAAATTTCATCGTCTCGTCTGCCGTCCATTTCACTTGCAGATCCCAACGACTCCTAACGAGCCCGGCCGTTCTACGCTTTTTCCTTCCGTTTCCCTTCTTCTCTTCCGCCGGCTACCCTTCCGGTCCCTACCGCCATCCCGACGCAATTACCGCTGGCGGGATCGTTTGCGGAATTTCGCCGGGTCTCGGTATTTGGCTTAATTGAACGAGCTATCGGGAAAAGGAGACACCTCGATCTGCGACGGTTGAGCGGGTGGGATGGTTATGGGGTTGGATCGAGGGAGTGTTGATGGAGATGTGTAGAACTGTGAATCTTGGAATTTTGTTTATTATTGAGTTAGTGGAAGTATATTGTTTGTTGTTGGTAGCTGGTTTTTGGATTGTGAGTTAATATTTTGGGTGGTTAATGATGGGACTAGTATAGTTGAAGTATTAAAGAAAGGGGATTAAGAGTGTAATTAAGTAAGCTTCTCTTTCGAAAAGGAACAAGCTCAATTACCGCATTCAGCGAGCTCAGTATCACGGTCTCCTTTTCCCGAAAGTAAGAAACGCGTCAAGCGGAAAATCATGTTTACCCTTCACACAGAGGAACGCGCGCGAAGGTGGGCAAATAAGAATCGAAAGTGTTTAACTAGTTTACATTATAACTGAGAAATGAAATTCAAACTCGACGAAGAAGAACACGAAGAAAACCGAAGCCCCGGAGGAATTCAATGAGGCGCGATCAAGACTCTCGGTTCCGTTTACCCGAATAATTGCTTTCCCGCGTCGGAAGGGAAAGTATCGGTTTGCACAACCGACAGACCGGATCAGCAGCGAGATTCCGAATGGCACCGCGTCCGGGTCTAAGCTTATTGCGCCGAGGCAAGAGCGGAGTACTCGAATTGGCCTACTGCAACTTCCTACTTCAGCGCAAAAGTGAAACAAAAGACGTGATTAAAGGGACTCGCGCGGCCGAGACCGGTCGAGGGATCGGATAACCTTTGTCCCCGTCTGTTTCCCGGCGACCGGGGAAATATCCGATAAATATGTCGAACGATTGTCTCGCCGTTCTCTCGGCCGCGCGAGAAGGAGGCGGGGCGGCGGCGGCGGCGGCGGCGTGGAACCGGGAGAAACGGGGAAAAATGGGGAAGGTCAGCGGGAAAGGGGAAGATAACGGTGCTCGACGATTTTCCCGATCGGTGACAGAAACGGGTCTAAACAATGTGGAGCGGGGAACACGGTGGAGAGCACGGTGAAGTGGAACAATGCAAAAATCAGTGCTGTGCGGACATTTCATAGTTAGGAAACAATGCTGTGTGGTTGTGCATTTGCGTACATACACGTGGCGGAACAAGGCCTTTTGTCTCTTTCTCTCTCTCTTTCACTCTCTCTCTCTCTCTGTCTCTCTTTCTTTCTCTCTGCTTCTCAAACATTTGCGTCGGCCAATTATTTCCGTCGCGTAAATTACAGGACAGTCGAACGCGGCGAATAATTCCCGGCGATCTCCGACGCGATGATTTCACATTTTTCGCCGTCGCGCGGACGAATCGGGGATAATCGAGCGTTCGATATTTCACCGGATTCTTCTTTTTCCCACCGCGGACCGATAAACTTCCCCGAATTATTCGCCGCTCGACCGTCCGATCGGCGGTGCTCATTCGTTCTCGTGGACCACCCACGAGAACCTCTGGGGAACAGTGGAGGAAGGTGTGTTCGGCGTGAAAGGGATCGGTGCCAAGTGTTTCAGAATCGAGTGAACGGAACGACTAAGGAAAAAAAGAAGAAGAAGAAGAAGAAGAAGAAGTAGAAGTAGAGTGAAAGAACGGAAAAGTGGTGAACGAAAACGAACGAACAGAAGGTGTCGGTGCATATATGCGTGTGCTGATTAAGTGAACGAGCCGAGAGTCGGCACTCCAACTTCAACTTCGAGGCGGCTGGCTGGTGCTGCTGCTGGTGCTGCTGCAGGTGCTGCTGGTACTCGTACCAAATTCAAGATGAAGTGGTGCTACGCCGAAGCCGAATTTCGCAAAAGTGGCTGGTGCCCTTTCATGCAGAATCCCTTTCTTACGGGGAGCACCGCGATCGCTGATCCCGTGTCGTCGAACCTTGAAGACGTGCACACTGGGAACGAGATCGTGTTCAACGAATATTGAATCTATGTCGAATCTAACAGGTAATCTCGAACGTCACAGAGAAAATACCTTCAAGATATACTTAATTTTGATAACTGAATAAATTAGTACCTTTATTTTATTTCAATTCGAATTCAGCGAATTTTCTTGATACCAACTTGAAGGCAACTTTTGTAGTGTTACGCAATGAAACAATAAAAATTCTAGGAATTTAGAACTCTAGTAGATAATCGTAACTGTAATAAGCAATCATCGATTAATATAAATATACTTCGTTCCATCTCCAGTGTACACGCATCGGAACACCGAGTATCAGATATTCATTTCAATTTTCCTTTGTTCGTTCGTTTCAACGTGGCCATTCGATACAGACGAATGTTCGCGTCGAAAAGTTTACGGGCGGCGGATCGGAGATCGAGATCGCGGTGCCCCGTCGAACGCGAAGATCGGGACAGGTGCGATTTCATAGTCGGTGCGTCTGCGAAATATACACAACTATACAAAGACAATTGGTGAACGGTGGCCGTGGTGAAAACGCTATCATATATATTGTGCGGTGCTCAAGTGCTTTGGTGCGTCGCGTTGCTGGCTGGGCGGCTGCTGCTGCGTATCGCGCGGATGGTCTCGATTATTGAATATCTAGAGCTGCGTTTTTCTTTGTTTAACCCAGTGAAGCCGTGTCGTACGTGTGTCTGTGCGAGTGTGTGCGGCATTTCGATTGTATCGTTCGCGAATGGCTTTTTTTTCGTTTTGCGCGAGCGTGTCTTGTTTCTTTTGGGTTCGCGCTTCGGCGCCCAGCGTTGCGGGCAACGATCGATTTTACGGCGTGAAAGAGACCGATCGTGAATCAGAAGATCGTCGCAGAGAATCTGTGTCGTCGAGCCTTGGACTCGCGAATACACGAATCGTCGAGTAGATTTGATGGAACCCGCAGCCCTAGGTAGATTGAGACATTTTTGCTACTTGAAATACGCGCGGCAGTGGCTGCGGCATCGTGGCTGCTCATACGTGTGATTACACAGTGATAACACTAATAATAGACAATAGAAATATGTACAGAGCCGACTATCGGAAACGGAGCAGTTGCAGTAATCTTCGTCGTTACAGATGCGGAACTAGGTACGAATTAAAATTATTTCGAAAAATTTCAAAGTAGAATCGCTGTTTGAGGAATCTTAACCATTTGCACTCCAGAAGTTCTTTACTGGAAATATTCAATATTTTCGAATGAGATACGGACGACATTTTCTTAGACTGAATCAAGAAATCTCACATGCATCGAGGAAGAGAACTATTTTCTTTCAAAATTTCGTATATCGATGCATACAAAGTTTAGTATTAAATATCAAACTTTACAGTTTTGCTGTATCAAATCATTCGGCGACTGAGAGGCGCCTCTGGAGTGCAGAGGGTCGATAGATATTTTATACTAGAATGCAAAGATTGATTAATGAAGAAAATGATTTTTATAATTGCAGATGTGAATCAAGGAATATTCTGAAATTTTCAATACTAAAAGAATGTTCGTTTGGAGAATCGTTAGTTTATACTTTGAAACGTCTTGGGAACAGTTGAATGAGTTACGCGAACTAAAACGGCGGTGAAAAATAAAAGAAAGCGATGGGTATATTGCGGCGTTGCACCGGACCGCTAACTTGGTAAATATTGATTTCAGGTCGGTTTCGTGAAAATTGGATTGCATGAACTTTGCACGTATAAAAGGAAATCAAACTGTAAGGGAAAACGCGTGATCAATGGAAACCGTGCAGTACACAGTTTTCACTGACCGGTGAAATGCGGATCACGTTTCGACGGTATATTGATTTAACACTAATACCCGGGGCGCGATTATTTTGCTCCCGCTTTCAAAACTCCGATGAAACTTGGTTACTTGATTGTGAGACCACCGGGGGAACTTACTTGAATAGAACTAATTTCGAAAATATACCTCCCTCTATTGACCCAAATGCTGGATTGTTGCGTTGACGTGTTTCATTCGAGCACAAGTGACAATTATCATGCTCCAGTGTCATAAATTATTCTGACTTGCACCTCCTAGATAAACCATTCAAATCTACCGCAATATCCCGTCCGCATCTGCAACGACACGTTTAGCACGTTAATCTCTGAATATCAATAAAAACCTCACAAAGTTAACTTTCATCAAGCCCTAGAGTATTTTCCGTCTATAATTTCTTAACAGTCCCATAAAGGTTAAAGTACCAAACTACACTTTCCTCCTTAATCACTACCATTCCCACCTCTCAACTCCACCAAATCTTGAATCATCCATTTCATCGAAAGAACCCCTCGAATCCAACGGAAAACCCAAAAATCCATCTATAAATCATCCTTAGTAATCGGCCAATTAACCGCTTCGTTTCCGCATAGACCACCCGGTATACACCGAATATACCAATAATATAAAAGGTGCGCTGCGATGTGCAATAAATAAACGTAAAGGTGGTGAGTGAACGGCGTTCGAAAAGGTGCCTCGTTCGCACGAGCTCTATCATCGTCCAATACGTGTACAAACGAAAAGAAACAATCACAAGTATATATATATATATATATATATATCAGTAGTAGAGCAAGAAGTAATGAACCGGGCAGCTCGGTAGCTAGTCATTCGGTGTTACTTTACCACGAACGATCAACTCGGCCGTCCATAGGACCTCGGCCACGGAATTGCGCGCCAGGCAAGTATAGTTGCCGGTGTGCGCGGCGCTGACGCGCTCGATAACTATCGTACTGGAATGGGCGTCAATGTTGGTTACGCGTAGCCCGGCGGGTGTCTGCGTGTGTCTGGGAC